TATATATATATATATATCTATAGTATCGGTACATATTTAGGCCCCTATGTTAAGCAATCAGCACAGTCAGAATCCTCAGGTCACCTGCTTGTACGAATGATGCGACACTGCGTAGACTTTGGCCCTACTTAGAGGGTCGGGGGGCTTAGTAACTAGTTATTCTGCCAGACTTATAAGTACCATAACCCAAATGAGGATCCCTTTTAGGGTGCTTATAACTCTACTTCAGATCTACTTACTAAGTCCCCCGACCCTCCAAGTAATTACTCAACTCACACACCCAAGGGACCAAAACCCCAGTGTGGACCCGAACAGCTTACATACCAACGCTGCTGTCTGCTTCGGAATCGCGAAACCTTGCGGGCTGCAGCCCTGCTATAGCTTCAGTGTTTCGGGTTTAGGGGTTCACGGTTTAGGGCCCACCCGTCCCATGCAGAAAGTGAAACGATGCTTCGAAGGCCGCAGAACCCTGGTTTGGGATTTGGGGAGTTTCGGGTTTGGGGTTCATTGCCAGAGTTTCGTAACACGGTGGACCCAGCACAGCGCAATCTATTTATCTGTCTTGGCACCACATACTCAAACCCCACCATAGCCCTTGATACGCTCTGCATGAAACCCTAAGCGATAAACACCTGAAGCCACTAACAACCCTAACCTATAAGACCTGCAAAGTTGATGAAACCCTGCAAAAGCCAAACCCGCAAAATGCTAAACATTGCTAAACCCCTAAACCCTAAACCCCACGACTGCTAAACCCTAAACCCTAAACCCTAAACCCTAAACCCTAAACCCTAAACCCTAAACCGCAAACCCTAAACAACTCCCCACACCCCCACGGGCTCCTAAACTCTAAGCTCCACACCCTAACCTGGGCTTTGAAGTAACCAGGGAGAAAAAAGCATAGACTGTTATTTCATAATGGCTCCTTTAAGGAACAGGTCCCAAAAAAAGTATTAAAGTATGGTACTCCACACCCTAACTTCGAGTCCTAGACTCCAAACCCAAAGCCCTAAGCCCTTAACCCTACACCCCAAATTGTAAGCCCTTAGTAGGGTTCAGGGTATAGGGTTTTAGGGGTTAGGGCTTAGGGGTTTAGAGGTTTAGGGCTTATGGGTTAAACCCTACACCCCAAACCCCAAAGCCCTAAAACCCCAAACCGCAAGATAAGGCTGGCCTGTGCATCCTGGAACGTCTCAAAAATGATGACGGCGCTGGCGCCAGCCTGTGGGTTCCGAGGGTTTAGGGTCTCGGGTTTAGGGCTTATAGGGGTTAAGGATTCAATCGCACTGAGGATTTAGCTGCAAGGTTTATATATATATGGTTTAGGAGGGTTTAGTTTAGGGGATTTAGTTTGGGTTGAGGGTTTGCGTGTAGGAGCTAGGAAGGTCAGAAGATGGTATACTATCTGGGCTGGTTCGAAGTTGAAGGTTTTAGGTGTTGGCATCGGCTTGACGTCTTGACGAAGTCTCTCATTGCAGACTTGAACCTACAGCAGAACAGCAGTTCGGCACGTTGATTAGCGAATAGCAGGGCGAGCGTCATGAGCATCAGCTGGAAGTCAGTTTAATCTCACGCTCCAACCTCCAAATGTTGAACCCACAGAAGGGGTAGCAGTTCGACCCAGTCATTGGACGAATTCCGACAGCGAAAGGGCCGACAGGGCGAGCATCATCAGCATCAGTTCGAAATGCTTTCAAACTCTTCTCCAATCTACAGACGTTTGACCACACAGCAGGAGTAGCAATTGGACCCAGTCATTGGAGGGTTCAACGAACCACAGCGCGAGCATCATCAGCATCAGCCGGAAATCCTTATTGAACAGAGGGCAGCATCACCAGCATCAGCTGGAAATACCTTTGAATTACTCTGCCATCTGACCACGGGTAGCAGTGTTGAAAGCCCTCACGGTCGTAGGTTTAGGGTTTAGGATTCGGGTTGAGGGTTTAGGCCAAAGCTTGCCAGTGAAAGAGTTTAGAATTCAGGATTTCGGGCTCAAGGTTTAGGGTGTTTACGCCTTTTCTGGTTAAGGGCGTGCCCGCTTACCCTAATCTCCCAGAGGGTCCTAAGTCCCCTATAGTGGGTTTAGGGTTTAGGGTTTAGGGTTTAGGGGTAGTATGTATATAGGGTTTCTGTATTAGGAATTACGATTATGACTTGGGGAAGTATCCCCCCATAACGGTACCTAGGACCCTCTGGGTCTGTATAGAGTTGGAGCAGTTCTTCAGGCTTCGAGGCTTCACGGCTCGCTGGGTTAGGGTTTAGGGTTTAGGGGTTCAGGGTTTAGGGGTTCAGGGTTTAGGGTAGTTTAGGGTTCAGCAGCTCCGGATCGAGCAGTTTTATAGTAGAGTCGTATTCTAGTTTCGACATAACACCCACCCACCCTGAGAATCCCACGACATTAAGAAAATATAGAAAGTTCGTTTTATCATCACTTAAAGAGACCCTAAAAAC